ATGCTTTTCTATGATGCTTTAACTTGGTCAATAAAAGATGAATGAACAACAGATGTTGATGAAACAACAAATATTATCAAAATTACTAATATTTATTATGTGTGATAATACGAAGGTTTAGTCCATCCTTCAATGATGGGAAATGAGGTCAGACTGGCACTGAGACCACTGAAAAAATGAAGACCATAAAAGTTTATGACATTGCATCAGAATTACTGCCAGCAACTAAAGAAGAATCACTCAAAGTCTTGCAAGGCTTAAGTCTGGAAAGCCAATCAATGGACAACAGATTGGAAGAGATCATTTTATATTTCATCACCTAACAACAATTTTCCTTAGATCACACACTAACAATATTATGCTAAAGATTGTTCCATGCAAACAAAAAACATACATTTTAAGAGAATTATCTGATGTACAAGCTGGATTTTGGAAAGACAGATGCATGATGGATAATTGAAAAGCTAAGGAGTACAAAAATAAGTCTACAATTGATTCATTGATTACAGCAAAGTCTTCAACTTTGCTGACCCTATCAAATTATGGAATGTTCTCAGGAAAATGGGTGTATCTGAACATCTCATTGTTCCTTTGAATAACTTCCAAACTGATAAAGAAGCCATAGTAAAATGGAAATGAAAACTGGCTCAAAATCTGCAAAGGAGACAAGGCTACATACTCTCACTGTACTTATTCAATCTGTATGCTAAACATTTAATGAGAGAAGCAGGACTGAAGCATGATGTTAAGGTTTCAATTCTGGTGGAAGTAACATCAACGATCTTTGAAATGCTAATAACACTACACCCACAGCTGAAAATATAGAGGACATCAAGAACTTCATAAGCAAAAGTTAAAGAGCAGAGTCAACTATGAAACTTTAGCTAAATATCAAAATTACACCTATGTAAACAGGAATGACAGCTGACGTCAATGTCCATAGTGAAGACTGAGAAATAGTAGACAGTTTCTGCCACTTGGATCATTTATATGATAATAATTTTTAGCAGTCAAGATATACAACCTAAATACTTCCTCGAGTCATTTATGAGATAATTATTTTTGACAGTTAAGATATACAACCCAAACTGACCCTTGGAAGAGCAAAGATTAAAAAAAACAGAAGAGATATCCAAAAGTACTGATGTGTCCAAATGATCAGAATTGTCCAGGTCACGGTATTTACTGTCATGGTCTATGGATGTGAAAGCTGGACAATGAAAAAGCAAGAGGCTTTTGAACTTTGGTGTTGGTGAAGAATTCAAAGAATACCATAGACAGCAAAGAAAACAAACACAGAGAAGCTTAAAGTTCACCTTTTTGCAGGTAAAAAAAAAATTTTTTTTTCTTGAGAAGTAATTGCAGTGCCAGGCTCTTGTAGAGCTCCAATATGGTCAGGCAGTTACTGAAGTCCAGGGAGCTCAATGGACTACGAGAGCACTCCCCAGCATCCTGAGAGTAATTGTAGTTCATTCATTCACAGACCTCTGTAAATAAAAGACATGGCTGTGCGGGTGGGAGCCCCGTATGGCCATGCTGCTTTTAAATTGTGACAATTCCCACATGGAAGAAAAATATATTTGAAATAATTTTAAAAATATTTTTGCCGTATGTTTGAAATACTACAATTTTGATATTCTTATATAAGTTGCAAGAAAAAGTATGTGAACCCCTTCGGATTGTTTTGCATGAATTGGGCTAAAAATGTGCTCTGAAATCTAAGTCACAACAATAGAAGAACACTGCTACACAAACATTAGATGTTGCCATGGTTTAATTGCACATAACATGTAAACATTCACAGTGCAGGGAGCATGTGAACCTTTGGACTTAATAACTGGTTGACCCTCCTTTGGCAGCAATAACCTCAACAAACGTTTGTTTCCTCCCATGTACTCCATTCTTGTTTAATGTTTTCCTTATTGTGTCAACAAAAATGTTAGCATGTGCCAGAGATTTCTGTAGGTCTTTAGCTGACACTCTTGGATTCTTCTTACCCCGTCATGACCATGCGCTGTGCTCTTGCAGTCATTTTTAAATTAGTGACAATTTCCCACAGTCTGGAAGCATTAAAAAAACCCATAAGGGCAGGACAGCTTTGAATATATCACACTTTTCAAAAACTCCTATTCTTGTGAGAAGTCATTAAGCTATATACTTTTTCCTCCCTGCCTGTGAATGTTTACATGTTATGAAATTAAACCATGGCAAATCTAATGTTTGTGTAGTTTATGTTCAGCAGACTGTGTTCTTCTATTGTTGTGACTTAGATGGCATATGCTCAATTCATGCAAACTCCATGTAATCCCAAGGGGTTCACATACTTTTTCTTGCAACTGTATATACTGCATGTTGAAATGCGTTTTTTATTACAAAAAATATATTTTTTTTAACATATAAAAAAGTAATTTTAACATTCATATTTTTACATATATTTGTAAATGCATTCCAGATATGTAGATTTGTATTTTTTAAAGACATACAGTATATTTGAAATATA